TGTGTACTCAAGATATTGTGTTTGGAGAGGTGGATAGACAGGACTACTAGTTGGTCGATAAGAAAATGAGAAAACTCAAAAGTATAGTTATTAAATAATCGATCGGCTTTTAAAGAAAACCCTCCAACAATGGAATTTTACTTCAATGAAATTGTAAACAAATGCTAATTCTTCTCAATTGAGGTGGAGATTCTCTCTTTTTCATCCACTTAAAATTTTCAAAATAGCTTAAAATAATTTAAAGGAAGCCATATTGTAAAAGATTAATTTTGTTTAGGTTGAGAAACTCAAGCGAGTTGGTTAAATGGTAGAATCATTGATTTTCCTTTAAATATTAGTTTTTGACTTTCAATATTTTTGTCATCAATTTTTCGTTCTTAATTTCATTAACTTATAATTCCTTTTTTTTTTTACCAAGTCATTGAATTGGATTCGAGTATTGATGAAATTCCAAAAACATAATCTATAATTTTCGACGAACTATTTTTATGTTTCCTTATATACCCTTTGGGAGTAGGGTGTTTCAAATATTTCATTGCCCTGAGTTGAAAGTCAATTCAAGCATCCAAAACATAGGAGTGAGACTGAAGAAAATGTCAAATTTCTTGACATTAACGAATGGTGTTCGAAGATGTACTGGAGTAATGCAGGATTCTTCAAGTTGATGGAGGAGTCCATAGAATCAAACTTGACGGAAAAAATACGGAGAGAAGAGAGAACGGGGAATTGTTTGAGATGAAGGTGGGATTACAGTTGAGAAGGAGCCTGCAGCAGCTTAGAGAACTCGCAACCTCTTCTTCCGGCAAAGGGAAGGAGGAGAAGGAGGAGTTTGCAAGCGAACTTTTCTAAATATATTTCATTGATTTTGTGTGGATGTATATATATTTGTAAAGCTAACATAATTTTCGTAAATTACTGAACATATCATAAACCGCAATAATTGTTTCATTTGCTGTATATCAGAAAAAGTCGATTCATTGTAAATTGAAACTCCATTTTTTAAGAAAACTGTTGTTTTATAAAGACTAATATGCATTTCCCATGATTTTGTAACGATATTGCCACATTTTCTATTTAAATATTTAATAATTACATTTCTATCAAAAATTGATTAAAAAAATCCTAGAATTTGACACTTAAAAATATGGTACTATGTCATATAAATTAATTATTATAAAAAATTAAACACGTTTTTGAAACTGGTAGAGTATAAATTAAAAAACAAATGATAACACGTGAAAAGAATTATTGAAGATGGTTCTGTTGGAAAAATGTGTGAGACATATTTTCTATTATTTATTTATTTTTATAATTTATTTCATTAATTTGTGATGTCGAAATGATGATTTTTAATAAATGCACTAGGTGAATATAAGCTTATATTGGTTAAGTTAGTATCCTCATGAATAGGTAATGTCGAGAAGCCTTCTGATGAACTTTCTTTTTAGTGAGTTCATGATCATGTTCGAACGTACAAGGAACTAGACAAACTTGATCTGATTCTGATGTTTGAATTCAAATTTTTTTCCTTATTTACCATCATATGTAAATATTATTTTATGATAAAATAATTGTATTTTGTTTAG